ATGTTGACAGCTATTCTTAAGGAGAAAGCAGAGTTGAGAGTCAGAAAACCTAGCCAGTAGAAGATTAAGACAAACTATAAAAAGCTGTCACCTTATGGTGATGACTAAGTTAGAATCACAATACTTTAAAAAAACCCCAAACAACCTCTCCCCTTCCAAAAAAAAACCCCAAACCCAAATCCAGGATATTTTTTCCATGACTGCCTGAAATTGGGGTTGGTTTGGGGTTTTTTTAATCCCAATTAATTTTTGTCTAGTGCCTTATTTTTCCCCACCATTCAGGTAGCAAGAAATAACTTCTTCCCAAATGAGTTGATCTCTCAATAGGGTCTTGCTGGAATGCTGCTAGTGCTGAAGGCCTGTTTAAGAAGGGCCTCTATCAATTTCTCCTTCTAGGGTCATTTTGTCAGACCGGTTTGAGAGCTGTTGAAGAAGATTCAAAACCTTAATTTATTTTATGGTACTGAATTTTGCTTTGCTCTCAGGGACCTTTGCTCTCCAGTTAACTGTCATTATGCTGCTGCTCAGCTCTCATTAGCTTTCTGCAATTATTGTTATTCCTTATCATTTGATTGAAGTTGTACATTCTCCACACACCATCACTGCCAATTGAACAATTTATCCATCCACTCCATCTTGCTCACTCCGCTCACCACGTCTTCATCCCTAGTCTCTCTAAAATGCCTCGCTAGCTGAAGAGGCCTTTGCAGAGTTGTATCTGGCGCTTGAACCTCCATTAAAACCAGCAGCTCCAGAAGTCCAGGCTGACAGCCTGCTGTGATGTGCATGTTGGTGTCACCCGTATTTAGTACACTGCCTTTTTTCCAAGCTCACTCCAAGTTGCAACCATAGAGGAAAAGGTTGTTTGAAGGTTTCTGTTCATTTGGTCTGCCTTATTATGTGCATCTTCAGTAGCTGGAGAGGTGTAACTGTGGTAGAGCAGTGCCTCCCCTAACGCTGTTTTGTTCCCTCCCACTACTGATACCGTGTCTACACATTGCAGTCCTACCTCAGCATATCCATTGCCATGCAAGATTTCAAGCTGGAGGTTCAGGAAGTAAATGTTAAGTTGTAAATAAAAGAAAATCCAGGTAGCTTAAAAGTCCTCACATTTCATTTCTAAAGCACAAGCCTTTAAAATAATTCAGTGTTAGATGTTGTCAGATATATGCAATTTGAGAGAGAATTAAAACACTTCATTAAAAAAGCAAGCCTATGTAACAATTTGATGTTACACTTTTGTTTCTGAATAGTTCCTTTGTGTGGAATGCTGAATGATACCTTTTAAACAAAGGAAGGAGGAAAACCGCAAAGAATGTAATTTTACTGTGAAGATCCTTTTGTGAACAGGTCATGATATTTTGGGACAACATAATTCACAGAAGGGTCTGTAGAAAACCAGCCAACTTTTGCAATAGTGTTTTACATATTTGCAAAGCTACTTGGAGACCAAAGATACATTGCAGACACTGCAGATAATACAGCAGTTTCCTGAAGCATACATTAAACTGAGTGCCTGATTATGGCCTTAGTTAAAGCCACGTTACTTACATTGTTTTGCATTCCTTACCTGGCAAAACTCCTGTAGCGTTTCACGGCGGCTGTTGCTTGGGTGGCTGGGTGAGCTTCACGAGGTACATCTGGGCCCCGCAGCACCCCCAGGCAGCTCTACGGCCGTGCTGGGCTCTGACAAAGCTCTGCCCGGCTGCTGCTCGCGTCCCATGAGCGCTGGGGCCTGCTGGGCGTGCAGTGAGTAAACTTTGAGTAAGTTTTGAACAGGCAGCCCCCGTGTGCTAACGGGAGCTTATCGGAGCGGGCTTTTGGTGCTGTTCGTAGTTTGCAAATCGTTTTAATTTTGTCACTGATCGGTTTCAATAAAAGGTGTCTGCTAACGCCGGTCGGGCGCGGGGTTGTTGTTTTTACCGTTAAGGTTAGAGCCGGGGGAGGGGGAAGTCCGCCAGGGGGCGCCTCGCGGGAGGGCCAACGCCTCCTTCACGCCCCACAATGCATCGCGGGCCTGCCCCTACGCGACTTCCGGGATGGGACTTTCTGTGTGGCCGCGCGTCTCTATGACCGCCAGGTGTGGTTGCCTTCGCGCTCGCTCCCCCCGCCCCGCC